GGAGTATTTGGGAAATGAGTAATTTTTACATTTTAGAATGCCAGGCGGTGTACATAATGAGCAGCCACTCATAACCAGACATTAGTATTTCCCCCGCAAAACCTGTAAACTGTGATGGGGCTGCTAACCAGCATGCGGCTGTTCGGTGGGGGTCAGGGCTGGTCCTCAGCAATGTGGGCTCAGCCTGTGGCTCCAGACGCTACATCGAGATCAGGAGTCTTAGCAGATCTGTGCTAGGGTGGGAAGAACCAAATCAGGAGGCCTGTGTGCGTTCACCTCCCAGCCACTCCCCCCGGTGGGATCTCGGCGAGGTCCCATCCCCGAGTCTTCACCTGTCGAGTGGGGAGGACGCAGGCCTTCAGTTCTTCTCTGCAGCCCTTGGGGCCAGGAGTATTTAGGAAATGAGTAATTTTTACATTTTAGAATGCCAGGCGGTGTACATAATGAGCAGCCACTCATAACCAGACATTAGTATTTCCCCCGCAAAACCTGTAAATGTTCACGCCGCAGAGGGATAGAATATAAACAGTTAGGACTGGCCGCCAAAATAGCTGAGAGGCATCTCTTGGTCTTGGAGGGCTTTCTGGATGTTGGGATTGCTTTGAAGGGCTCCTGTGAAGGTTAGAGGTGGTTCAGATAATGAATGCTCCCAGCCCAGTCCCTGGCATGGTGGGTGCTCCATAAATAAACGGGAGTATTGATGGTAATGCTAATAACAGTAGTTATTAATGCCATCATCGCCATCACTGCCTTCAGGCCTGGCACCAGTCCCCGGTGGCGGCAAGATCACGAGGAGCCCTGTGCCTGGGCGGCTAGTGGGCACAGTGGGCCCCCTTTGGATCTGGGGCGCTGTCTGTCCACAATGTGCCTTTTGGGAGGGACAGGACGCTGAGAGGCAGAGGGGATAGGCAAGGGCGGTCAGCCCAGCCCTTGCGCATGGAAGGTGATGCCTGCTTGGCTGGTCCTAGGCGTGGGGACAGTTCTCAGTAAGCTTTCCCATTGTGTGTAGACCCTTCTGCAGGCATCTCATGAGATGTGTGTGTTGTGGGGGCGGGGGGCGGGGGGGGTGCAGTTTCACCACTGCTTCTCCTTGCTCTTCCGTGCTCCTGGCTGGAAGGGGAGAGGCGGGGCACAGCCTACAGGCCTGTCCTGTCTCCAGCCCCTGGGATTCCTAAGGCCCCAGAACCCGTCTTGCGCCTATTCCATTCTTCTTGGGTGTCGCAGAACCTAGAGAGGAGCAGGCTGCAGCTCTCCCCAGCCCTCGTGGCTCACTCTGCATCAGGAAACGGACCTCCTAGCACACAGGAGTTGGCAGGGGCATTTTGGCTTGATGGGCAGGGCATGAGGTGAACCACCCATCCCTGAGAAAACCTCCCAGGAGCGGAGGCATCATGTGCCGGCTCCTGGGCTGCTGCCCTCCCTCTGGCTCCCTGTCCACCTCTCACGAGAGTGGAGTTGGGATCAGAGAGCAGCTCTGCGAGGCCTTCAGCCGCCTTGGCCGATGGCAGAGGCCAGAGGGTGCGTGGAGGAGCAGGGCCATCCTGGAGCTGAAGCGGTT